ACCCACTTAACAAGGTTGTTTGAGGAGTGAAAGAGGCAGTTGTAACCCACAGTCAATATATTACTAAATGGACAGTAACTGAAAGCATTTACCCTGAAAACCAGAAAAAGACAAGGCTCCCCACTCTCACCCTTCCTGTTCAACATAGTGTTGGAAGTCCTAGTAGAGCAATCAGACAAGAGAAGGATAGGAGGGGTATTCAAATAGGAAAAGAAGAAGTCAAGTTATCACTCATTGCTGACAATAAAATCTTAAAAAAAAACAAAAAACAAAAGACCTCCTTGCACTTATAAAGGATTTTGGCAAAGTCTCAAGGTACAAAATAAATGTGCAGAAGACAGTTGCATTCTTATACACCAAAAACAAAAAGGCAGAGATCCAAATAAAAAGCACAATCCCATTTACAATAGCCACAGAAGAAAAGAAAAGAAAAGAAATACCTCGACCGCCATCTTCTTAACCAGGGATGTGAAAGATCTTTACAACAAAACTACAAAACACTGCTCAAAGAAGTCAAAGATGGCAAAAACAAATGGAAAAGTATTCTATGCTCATGGATTGGAAGAATCAACATTATTAAGATGTCCATCCTACCAAAGGCAATCTCAATGCAATACCCCTTAAATTACCAATGTCATTCTTCTCAGACCTGGAAACAAACATACAGAAATTCATATGGAAACATAAACGACCACAAATAGCCAAAACAATCTTTAACAAAGTGGAAGTTATCATACTTCCAGACTTTAAACTTTAATACATGGTTACAATAATCAAAACAACCTAGTGTTGGCACTAGAACAGGCATATAGAAAAATGGAACAGGATAGAGATTCTGGAAGCAAAACATCAATTTCTCAACCAACTCACCTTTGACAAAGCCTCCAATAACAACTACCAGGGAGGGGAGAACTTATTCAGTAAATGGCACCAGGAAAACTGGCTGACCACATGCAAAAGAATGAAACTGGATCCCTACCTATCACCATACACAAAAATTAACTCTAAATGGATCAAAGACCTAAATGTAAAACTCCAAACGTTAAGAATCTTAGAAAATACAGAAGACACCCTTACACAAATCGGAATAGGTAACCAATTTCTGATCAAAATCCCAAAAGCCTATTCCACAAGAGACAGGTTAGACAAGTAGGACCTCATCAAACTGAAAAGCTTCTTCAAAGCAAAAGAAACCATCAAGACAGCAGGGAGACAGCTCTCAGAATGGGAAAAATATTTGCCAACCACATATCAAACAAAGGTCTAACATCCAGGATTTGCAAGGAACACAAACGTACCAAAATGGGGAGAAAAAAAAAGCCCCATTAAAAAATGGGAAAAAGACATGAATAGACATTTCTTAAAAGAAGATGTATGAGCAGCCAACAGACTCATGAAAAAATGCTCAGCCTTACTAATCACCGGAGAAATGCAAATCACAAATACGTTGAGATATCATCTAACTCTGGTAAGAATAACCATCATTAATAAAACAAAAACAACATGTGCTAGTGAGAATTTAGAGAAAAGGGAAGGCAAACATGGTGGGAATGCAAACTAGTTCAACCTCTATGGAAAACAGCGTGGTAATTCCTAAAAAACTAGAAATTGACCTCCCATATGACCCAGCAATCCCCCATCTGGGAATATACCCATAGGAACTTAAATTACACTACACATTAGATACTTGTACACACATGTTTATTGCAGCACTTTTTACAATCACAAAAACTTAGAACCATCCATGCTGCCCATCAAAACTGGGCTGGATTAAAAAAAAAAATGTGGTACCTATACACAATGCCATAAAGAAGAAGAAAATTATAGCCTTTGCAGCAACGTGGATGGATTTTGAGTCTGTCATACTCAGTGATCTATCACAGAAAGAAAGAACTGAGTACCACTTGTTCTCACTCATAAGCAGACTCTGAACATTTACTGTAGTATTATAAGAAAGATATTGGCACTAGCCACAAACTGCCAGGGGAGGGAGCAGGGCATATAACATTAACAGGCGTACCTGATCGCAAACCAGGCAAAGTGAAAACTAAAGAGAGGCCCAAGCTTTACCTGTACGATGGCCACTTGTATGCCTAGTCTGGAATTGTACCCTACATCCTTAAAAAACAATTCAAGGTAAACATTTTTCTTTTGTTAAAAAAAAGACAATTGTAATATTATTCATGCAATATTTGGTACTTATTAAACTAGTAACAAATTATAGCTATTATTTTTAAATGTCAAAAAGATTCCATGTTACACTCACAAAGGCATAAAGTTGTAGAGATAAATTAAAGACCTTGGGAAATAATCATTAGAATATGTATGAGGATATTCTCACACATAACCATATTACTTTGAACTGCTCTGTACTTAGAAAGAAAATATATTCGGAATAAGGAATAGATGTATAGTGGTTTTCCATACTTTTTGTAAATAAAAGGCCAGTTACATTTAAACATTTAAAATTAGCAGTTTGTAAAGCCTAGGATACAACGTGAGAGAAATCACTTCCTTTACAATGTGGGAAAGTATTTTTTAGGTGTGCATGGGGAATGAAAGAACAGGAAAGGAACAAAGCAATCTAAATGGAAAGAAAGATCCAGTTGAAGAAGCCAAAAGTGAGTGCAGGGATATATCATGTAGGAACAGTCTGAGTGTACAGCACTCCAGGGTCCAGCTTTATTGAGATCACGATACAGGCATTATTAATATGTTACTGGGCATTTGGAATGTAAACCCTTTAAAATAGTCATTACCTGTATAACTTTTTTAAATCTATGCTATTTGTATATTTCACAGAGTGTTTTAGATATTGATCCTGGTTTATGAATTTTTTACATATGTTTGAGCCCTGGTCTTATTTCTTACGGTACTACTTGTATTTCACTTTACGCTTATGGTAACTTCATTAAAGTGATTTGTGAAATCTCTCGTTTTTTTGGTTTTTTTTTTTCCTGGAGAAATTCAGGGAGCGTTCTCTTTGCAATAACCTATAGTGATTTCAACACATAGATCAGTTTCTCTAGGCTACAGACTAAGACGGAGATTTACGTGCAGCACATTTAGTGAGGTGTGCTCTCGAGAACAAAAACACAATGGGACAGACAAAAGCCTGTTGCAACACAAGCAGCTGCAACACAAGCATCAATTGGTGGCGTGGGGCGCTCTAAAGCCACAGTGGTTCTTTTGGTGTGTCTAAAACTGGGCATATGTGTACAAAATTGGGGAAATGGTGGGCAGGCCTCTGTGCTTCCCCAGGGACCTGTCATGGGATATAGGCTTTCTGCGGGGTTGGGGGTGAGGAGCATGACCTAGAGAGAGGCAACTCCCTTTGGCTGAGGATTCAACTACAAACCATGCTGGAAGAAAAAGTGCTTCATCCCAAAAGAGCGATCTGGGCAGCGTACCACAGGATTCTTGTGAGTCCAGACCGTGCTCTTCACGGCTGCACTTGCTTCAGATAATCATTCCATCCTACTTGGAAACTGTCCTTCCACATTGGTGGTGGGTTCCTTTTCCAAGGTGAACTTACAAGATTAGTGAGACAAAGGCAACCCCACTGCCGCAGATGGTCTTGGGGCGGCATTAGACACATATGGTTATCCAGTCTCTGTTGCGTATTCAGTATTCCCAGAACACTAAGCAAGCACTTCTCCAGTCTAAGTAACTTACCTAAAATACGAACGCTCAATCCCAAGGGGTCTAGGCCACTCTTTTATGTGCTTGTCAAGCTGTGGCAACTGCCCTGATGCATTGCCGTCAAAACTGGGTAGGTAGTTAGCAAGAGAGGCCCCGCTGCTTTACCTGGGTGCCAAATAGATTATTCCCTGGACCCACTGATGATCAGAGTCTATTGCTCCTGCCAGGAGAGTGGCTTCTTTCCTTCCCTCCTGGTCTCTTGCAACTGGGTGGCAGCCATAGCTTAAATTTAGTAGAATTCTAGCTTTATCTCCTACGAAAAGCATTTATCTCAGTAACCTAGGACCGCTAGACCCCAAGAGCCAAATCACAAATTCCCCAAGTATGTTATTGGGAGTGACGGTGAGCCGGATCACTCCTGCTGCAACTGCTTCGTTTCCAGATCCACAAATTCTACTTACCAGAGACTCCATTCCATGTAACCGTCGCTTGAAGAGGGCATTTACTGCATCCTAGAGGGAGACACCCTACACTTTCGCCGTATCATCTCCATGTTAGCACCTCATCTGCGTCTTCAAAAGTCAGATGGGTCTGTCAGGTTGACAGTGTCTAGCTGCTATGGGACCAGTAGATTCCATAGTCTTACTTTATTGTAAAGTAGGTCTGTTGTACCAATGCAGTGTCTAATGAGATCTTATGTTCATCGATAAAACATTCTATAAGGCCTCAGTGAGTGATCCTCCAAATCCTGTTAGTAGGGAAGATCATCCATACTCAGACTGTTTCAAATTCTGCCCAGATGAATCATTCTCACCTCTAGGGTACAAAGGGTCCAATGTAATCATCTGGTAACTGGCTGTTGGTCTTCTCAAGAAGTGATACCATATTGGGGAATAGAGCATTGCTCTGTTGCTAGCAGGCCAGTCATTCCGCTGTGGCTAAATAAGCCATGCCAGTTCACTCTTCTAGTGAGAATGTTGAGTTTCAGTGCTATCGAATGTCAAGAGTTATTGTTACTCTATCTGTGCTTAAGTGATGAAGCCATCAGGAGGTGATCTAGGTCCAAAGTTCTCCTTTAATGGCTGTTTCCCAGAACCACACCTGATTTCAGTGGTGGTTAGTCCAGTTTCTCTGGTAATAGACTCTGAAATGAAGATTTACATGCCAGAACAACATTTGTAATGGAGTAAGAGAAGCTGATCTGATTAGGAGGTAAAGAGAAATGATGTATTGGCAACAGAAAGCTCAACTGACATTATGCAAAGCACAGAAACTGGGCTGGGCTTCTTAAGAGTGTCTGGAATTGAGACAAGGGCCTGCCAGCTTTGTATTATACCTCAGCACCAACCAGTCATGAGATAAAAGTTGCTGCTGGAGATGTGCATAATCACAAGACACCTCACGCTGACCAAGAGTAGTTCCTGAGAAAGGATTTGGGTCTGAGCTGTCAACAGGCAATATTTCTGGTGGCTGGAGAAGAGATACCTGAACAGGTCCCTATAGCATCCACTACAGTCTGAGTACTAGAATGCTTTCTTTTCTTTTCTTTTTTTAAGTCAGAGTCTCACTCTGTCGCCCAGGCTGGAGTGCAGTAGCACACTCACGGCCACCGCAGCCTCGACCTGCTGACCTCAGGTGATCCTTCTGCCTCAGCCTTCCAGGTACCTGGAACTACAGACGCAGGCCACCATGCCCGACTAGTTTTTTTGTGATTTATTGTAGATATGATGTCTCACCAAAGTGCCCAGGCTGGTCTTGAACCCCTGGGCTCAGACAATCCTCTCACCTCGGCCTCCCAAAGTACTGGGATGACAGGCTTGAGACACCGCGCCTGGCCTAGAATGCTTTCATTGAATTCTGTTTCTTTCAAACACACGATTGTTGCCATGAAGTTTTGTACAGAAATAAGTATGTACTGAAAAATAAACTGATTCTTTTTTTCAACAAACAGGTAGGACTGATTATAAAAATGTCATTTCTACATGAAGATGACACCATTAAAATACCAACAATAAATAAAGCGCATGATTTTATAGGTCGTAGCAATGGGTTTCTGTCATCCCTCACATATATCTACCTTATAACACCTGTGGTCTTGCATTTGCAAGACGTGTGTCTCTGCTGAAACTTACGTTCTATGGACAAAGACCGGGAAAAACCCTAAGGAGGCTTCTATATAGGCATCCAATCTAAGAGCATGGCCTCATTATTACAGTATTCTGAACACCGAGGCTAAATAGTCATAGACTCACATAGTAATTGGATAAAAATACAATAATTATTTCTGGAGCCCAATTATAAAACTTGATTTCTTTTTTTTTTTCAACTTTTATTTATTCACTCTCTTTTAGGGGTACAGATGTTTTTTGGGTCACGGTAATGCATTGTGTAGTGGTGAAGAAGTTCGGGCTTTAAGTGTACCTGTCACCCTCACTAGTGCACATTATATGCAATAGGTAACTTTTCATTCCTTCCTCCCTTTGTGGCCTCTCCTTTGAGTCTTTAGAAAACACACCTGCCCTTACGTGTTTATTACAGCACAATTCACAATTGCAAAGATGTGAAATCAACCTAAATGCCTACCAGCTGATCGATGGATTTTAAAAAAGGGGAGGATACACACACACACACACACACACACACACACACACACACACCCTTCATGGGATATACTATTCAGCCATAAAAAAATAATGAAATAATATCTTCTGCAACAACTTGGATGGACTTGGAGACCATTATCTTAAGTGAAGTAATCCAGGCACAAAGAAACAAATACCACACGTTCTCATTTATAAATGAAAAATTGGCTTCTTATCCTGATTTAGACTAAACTCTATTTTACCCAGATGTCAGAAACATTTTTAAGAGGAAGATAGTTTTTATATACTTTATCTTTGAAACATATGTTTAGGCTTAATGATTTTAACTCTGCAATGATTTTTTTAAATGCACAATAAAGATTAGAAGAAACTAATATATGTAGTAAAACATAATGATCCCTTATTGGTACTTGGAGATCACTATTACTCGACTTTCTTTTCATTTTTTTGAAAAGGTTAACATACACTCAGCTCTCCTTCAAAGGGCATTTTAGGACTAAATGTATATTAGAATTTACATATTTTTGGGTATTATTTTAACATATTCCCCAAGGCCCTACCTCGTGACACCCACACATTTGTTCAAATAGTATTATTCTTGCAAATAATGTGACTATTTGATGGCCATTAGAAGACCGGATGGTTTTTCTCAAGATATATTTCTTAGGAAATTGGGAACACATCCTTTATAAAAGAGTTCATGTATAATGATACAAAAAGTAATCCCAATGCTAACACTTTTGGTTGATGTCACACTGCAATCATTATTTCCAATAAAAATGATGGACTGTCTAAGTGGCTGACATAAAGAGTGAGACATTCTGTTTATTGCTATCACCATTGTTGGACTAGCCCATGGGCGCTGCAAGTTAAGGCTTGTTATATGAGAAAAAGTATACTTCTCTGAACAAATAGCAATAAAATTCCTTTGCTCTCATCCAAGAATGTTAGTTTCAAAAGCAGATAGAACTAGAAGTACCAATATTTTCCAAATTATAGAGATAGATTCACCATGGCATTAAGATTTAAGCCGGGCTCGGTGGCTCAGCCTGTAATCCCGCGCCTTTGGGAGGCTGAGGTGAGTGGATGGCCTGAGCCCGCGGGTTTGAGACCCGCCTGGGCAGCGAGACCTCATCTCTACAATAAATCAAAAAATTAGCCGGGTGTGGTAGCGCGTGCCCGTAGTTCCAGCTCCTTGGAAGGCGGAGGCGGAAGGATCACCGGAGCCCAGCAGGTCGAGGCTGCGGTGGCCGGGAGCGGCCACTGCACTCCAGTCTGGGTGACAGAGTGAGACTCCAACTCAAAAAAAAAAAAAAAAAATTTAAACCCAGGTCTCCGAACATCTACATATACCTTTCTATTAAGTAGCACATTTAAATAAATAATACTCACACTTCTACTTATAGAAATCTAAATAGATTAATATACTATAGCAAAATATCTCATAATTCCAAAGAAAAAGTATACACCAAAAGTCATTTTGAAAGATTCTATTAAATCCAGTCTACTCAATATACAATATATTCAGAGCAGTTGGCCCCTCTGGTAAATGACAGTTATAAATCTTTTTTTTTTTTATTGTAAACTTCAGTATTAATGTTCAACTTTCTTTTGCTACATAAATGTCTACAAACAGAGGCTTAACATAACACGCATTTACTATTTCAAAATCCTAGGGACTATCATTCTTCTTACCACAATTAAAACAAGGAATAAAAAGTAAATAAATTTAAGAAAAATGCCAGACTGACTTTTAAGAACACACTTTTGTGATAAGTATTTCATTTATGATTCAAAGTTTGCTCTTAAAAACAAAATCCTTAATTCAGAAAGTAAGCTTATAACTTCATCCTTTTTGTTCTCAAAAACTAGAAAGGAAGTCAAAAGGACATTTTGACTGAACACTGCTACCATTTTCAGATTATAAAGTCATAGCCAAAAGATGCATAAGACTGAATAATGTTCTGCATTGAACCAAGAGCTTTTAAGAGTTTTTTTTCTTTTAGATTGATTGTTTAAAAAAAAAAGATTCTGTGTTCCATGATGATTCACTTTAGCTCTCCTGAGAGTAAACTTTCCTGTTATCAATGTTTCTGGTTTATATAGTATTCATTTAAATACAGATATTAAATTAATTAAAAGTCCAGTTATTTCAAGTTTTCCTTTGAAACACTCAGTAACATTTAAATTTGAACACATAGCTATCTTTTTAGAAGATTTCATTTCTCTGGGTATCTTAGCATACTAGAACTATTGAGCCCAAAATACCAGTATACCAAGAAGTATTCACCAGATATGGTAAGACTAAGGTTATACTCTTAACAGTATCCAGCAAAGAAAGGTATATAGGAGACAGGTATCACAAGAAATATTAGTAAATGTCTATCCTGTCACTAGGATTGGCAGGAAAAAAATGCATCCAGTAAACATTTGGATAGACATCTTTTTATGTAAAAGCAAGTTGGGAAATTGTACCGTACCAATTTAAGAAGTTTGGAAAAACTTTTTGACTCAGACTATACCTACAGTCTAATGCCATACAAAAGAACCAAAAGGAATGAGGGTTCCTTAATGTCTTAGCCTAAAGCAAAAATTTAAAATATAGGTATATATTTTGACCTGTATCTATATTTGGATATTTTAAAACCAAACATAATAAATAGGTATCTTCAAAGATCCTGTTGATAGGTACCCAGTATCTCCCAATTAAGGTAACTTGCATATTTTAGAAAACTGTTTATATGACTATTTGGATTCCTTTGAATTTGAATTAAGGCTAGGGAATAGGATAGCTAAAATGAGATTAAAGCCTCACTAGTTGAAGGAGACTATTTTTCCAATTTCCAAATGAAAAAAAAAGTCAGACCATGCTTATTTAATCAAAGTTTACAACCACCACATATCTACCACATCTTAGTAAAATATAATCATATAAATTTTGAAAATGCCATAAATCTTCTACTTTTGACTCCTTGACAATCCCTGTTTTCCTTATTCTAATATTTTTAATATTCTCTGTAATATTTTTTCTTCTTTCTCAACACCCAGATTGTTTACATTTCGAGTAAGACATCTAACACTACATTTGATATGTTTCTTCTTTTTTGGTTGGTTAAGTTGAATCTTGCTGATTGTTGAAACATACTTGGTTATTTGTTTTTTTATTTTATTTTATTCATGCTTTTCCTTTATAGGAAGAAAAACATAAATAACGCCCAATTTCTATTTAATTTATGATACAAAGCTTGCACTTAAAGACAAAACCCTGTATTTACTTTGAGTGTACTGTAATTGCGAAATCATTTCTCTATTTAGTAGAATATGATAGTCTTATTGAAGCAAAGGGTTTAGTATGTCTCTGGAAAACAAAAATAACCATAAGAAATATAAAACGTCAACTATTCACTTTTACATATTAAAGAAAAGCAAACAAAAATAGGCTGTGCAGAGGTTATAATGACAGACATCCCCATTCCTCTCTGTAAACAGGATTCAAATTTGTTTTAGGTATTTAGATGAACAGCAAAGCTCTCCAGGAGATCTAATGGTACTTCTAGTCCAAGGATTGAATCACAATTGATTAAAACAGTCATGGTCATTCCAAATCTTTTTGCCAGTGATTGGATTTAGGGTAGGCATGGACATATTTCAACTGATTGATTGTTAGGTTCATTGACTATCTCCAGAAAAATTCTTCTTTCCTAGAAGAATATAGTGTTGCATAGAGAAGGGACCTTTCTGCCTAGTGCTTCTCCCTTCAG